CTCGCTTCAGCACGAAATCTACAGAAATGCATGATCGCACCGGCAAACCTGATGCGCGCTGCAACTGATTTTGAAACAATAGATTGCTACCCAATGAGAATTTTTAGCCTTAATTTTACTACTAAAATGTGGTAGCCAGAAACTATAAATGTATCAGCTGATAGAAATATGCGTTTGACAAAGCATGAGAACAAATGTACGTTGATAGTTAAACAGTCGGACCGGTACCTTTTGTCGTCTGATTTATCTGAGCGAGTATAAATATTGCCAGCTGAAGCGTTCTGACAGGGATACTTACTTTGGTGTCTAATATAGCTGCTCTTTCACTTTCGTTCTGCTTCTCATCTTCTACGAAGCAAGCAACTTTGTTGAGTTGGATGGCAAAAATGGCTTCTCGTGAAAACTTATTGCAAACTTTTCTTACGCGCACGATTTGCTGTTCAATATCCCCTCTTCCTGCAAACATCAGTGGGTAATTCCGACGTAACTATTCACCTTTTGTCACGTTCACTTATTTTTTTATACGTCTTGCAAAAAAACATTTGGCGAGAAAACTGTTGTCTTGGGGATCATAAATGCTAGGAAACGGAAATTTTAGGAGAATGTTCGTTGCCCACGTTTAACCGCGCAAATCTAAATTCGGCTTTCACATGGGTATGGGTCCCAAGGACGGTCCCGTGGAAATTCTCCTGCAAAAAATTATTATCTCGAAAAATAAGAGAGCTAAGAAGATAAATTTTAGAGAAATATCACCTTTCCACTTGCAATTCCGCTAGTTTATGTTCAGCTTTCACGTTGTCCTGGTTCTCACGACGACTCTGTGAAAGTTTTGATGGGAAAATTGATATCTCGGGAACCACAAAAGCTTGGAAGCTGCAGGATGACATCTTGCGCATATGCAGAGACCTCACAAGCTCAAAATTAGCTCCCATTTATGACTGGATTTTGTGTACGGCCAGGAAAACGTTTTGACACGGAAGTTATGAGCCTGGTAGTCAGGAAGCTAAATTTTTGAAGGGATGTTCCCCGTCCATTTGCAGTTCAAAAGTTTAAATCCAGCTTTCCCATACGCTTACGTTTCACATTACGATGAAATTTTCGGTGGAAAATTTCGCAGCTTAGGAACCAGACACACCAAAAAAACTGTTTCGCACACACCAAAGAGTAAAACAATGAAAAAGTTTAGCTGACAATGTGTGGTGGACGGAACTGAGCAAAAACCCATGATCGCACCAGCGACTCCGGTGCGCGCCGCTGTGTATTTCTTTCTTCTTACAGCCTTTCGCAAAAGCCGTCAGAGTTTTTTGCGGTCCTTTGTCTGTGTTTCTTACAGAGGACCTTATAGGACATTGTCAGCTAAGAATCCAGCCTAATAAGTATTGAAAATGCAGCATACATCGGGCGGTCGGGAGATTATTCATGTCGTGGTAAGCTGTTGTGGGTGTTCATTTGGTGATACTCTAAGAAAAGCTCAATTT